ATATATATATATATATCAATAAATAGTTGATCACCAAGAGAATAAAAATATAAAAATATAAAAGATTTTATTTACTGAGCCTAGCTTTCGTCAAGAGCTCTTGACATCATCAGGGTGTAAACGGTAGTCGTTGGGAAAGCTGATATGCAACCGCTAATCATTTGCACTCGGCTCCTGGACCGTGTCACAGGTCCCAGCTGAGCGTGCTGTAATCTGAGTGTGTGTCTTGCATTAGGGTGTAGTTCTTTCTTACTCCTTCTCTGTGCTCCATCGCGCATATATATATTTGGGTTTTTTAGTGCTGCTCCAAGGTATTGGTGGCAAAAAAACCCAGCAGTTTTGATTGCATGGCACCCTTATCTCATATTTCATAATTAGAAAGTTTCTGCTTTTGGCTCTCTCCACCCAAATTTCACAAAATAAATTATATTTCCCAGCATGGGAATTTAGTTAATGAATTATTGGGCATTCTATAACAGGCAGGCGTGGAATTTAGACAAATATAGATGTTACTAAGCATGTCACTCTTCTTAAATGTCTAATCCTGTACACAGATGCATATACAGTATGCACAAACTCAAGAGAACAGAATGTCATAATTATATTGAACAACCACATCTGCAACTACACCCTTCTGAACTAAAAATTGTATAATGTGATGTCAAATTCTTGTGATTTCTAAGCTAGGAAACTGGGTAGATGCTTCAGCTACTTCAGTGACTGAAGAAATTTACTATTGAGACAAAGATAATATAGATTTGCTAATAATTACTGTCACCTTAAGCAGAAACACTGCTTTATACTTACAGTATACTGCTTTTTTTTAATACAAACCTTGTTACAGTCTTTGGAAGCTGAAACTTGATAGCAAGGCGAATATTTGGCATTTTCTATGATCAAACTGGATTTCTCCCTCTTGTGCAAGTATAAGACATTCTCACAGGCGAGAATCAGATTATTTCCTATTCAAAATGACAAAAATATATTTTTCCTGACCTTCAAAGTGTCTCTTTTTAGTTCAGGCAAGGAATCCTTATGGGTATTTGACTTCATCTATATTGCTGCTTTAATTATCTGAAACTTTTGTCTAGCAAGCAGATCATAATTTGACAGTGAAGTGGAACAACGTTTGAGGCCTTGAGTAGCATAGGTTAAACTAGCTTTGCTGCTCTCAACATTTTCCAAAAATATATCGGATCTGCTTCATCATCCTACTCTATGTTAATACTATAATTCCCCAAATCCTCAACTAGCAGAAGTAAAATGGCCACCATGCACCAATTTGTCCAAGTGTCAAATGGAAAAAAATTGTTTTTGATGGATTTTCTTATCACAGTTTGGCTCAAGTAAACAAGAATTAGTTCTCAATGGGGGAAAATTGATGAAAGTTACCATGAGAGAAAGAAGCTGGCTTTTTCCTTCCATGTTATAATCTCACCAAGAAAGGAAAATGATATCAAGGGTAAACCCAACCTGTTGTTCAAAACTACATCAGCCTAGTCTTGATAAGGCATCTGTTATTCAGAATTTAATCCTGGTTGAAATTGCTAATTGTATCGTGGAGTTCTGACAGACAGAGGTAAGAGTAGTTCATTCTAATGGGCTATTCTGTGATAAGCTAGATTACAGAAAGGTTGAGGATGGAGAAACATATTGTGGTCTGCTTAAATTTCTTGTCTCTGAGGAAGTGTTCTATCCAATGGTCCAGCAATTTTGAGTGCCTACTCATGTTTTGGAGTGACTGATACAATGTAAGGAACATAAAACATAGAATAACAAAACTGGGAAGGACAATTGGAGGTCTTTTACTCTAATCCTCTGCTCGAGAAGAAGACCCTGAGGCCTATACCATTTCAGGAAGTGGCTGTCCAGTCTCTTCTTAAAAGCCTCCAGAGATGAGCACCAGCAACTACTAAAGGCAAGCCATGCCACCTAACACAATGATGGCGAATCTTTAGAGACCGAGTGCCCAAACTGCAACCCAAAACCATTTATTTATTGCCGGGTGCCAGGTGGGCGTGGCCCATTAGATGGGTTTGGCTGTGGTGGTCATGGCAGATTGGGTGGGTGTGGCCGAGGTGGGCATGGTCACCTCAATGTTGCTCGTGGGGAGGGACACCTGTGAGGAGTGGGCAGGGTCGGGGAGATCCAGGGGGGGTCTCTGGCAGGTGTGGTGGTAGGCAAGAGGCTCGTCCTGTGGGGTGAGTCAAGGCAGGGTGGGGGTGCCATTGCCATGGGGCAAGGCAAGGGCCAGGGCACACAGAGGCCAGTGAGCGCATGGGGGCCGACAGTGTCCGTCAGCAGCCACAGCCTGCCGGCCCCTTGACCAGCGCACTCTGGGGCTCTGCAGCCCTCTGCCAGCAGTTCAAAGAAACTGCCTCTGAGCTGGATGGCCGGCCGACAGCTGAGGAGGCAATGCAGTGGGTCGTGCCCGGGAAAAGGAGAGCATGCGAGGCCAGGAGGGATGGGATGGGACGGGGGGAGGGAAACCAGCCGTGCCGGGATGCATTCAACCACGTGGGATCTCAGCGAGTTAGCGGGCAGCTGGTTGAAGAGGAACAGTTGCCATCTCTGGGGCATGGCATGTGTGCCCACAGAGAGGGCTCTGAGTGCCACCTCTGGCACGCATGCCATAGGTTCGCCACCACTGACCTAACAATCTTCCTCAAGTAGTGCAGGTAAACTCGTGCATTGCAGGTAAACATTGGCAAGAGAAGAGTATATCTTGACTTCCTGTTATGTGCATCTCATGGCAATCCGATTGGCTACAGTGACAAATAGAATTCTGCATTAAAGTGGAATTAAACAGAATTCTACATTAAGATGAGATTAAAAATAGGAAACAAAATAACATAGAAAAAATAAAAAACACTATATGAAAAAAACCACAATCTAGTCACATTCAGTTTCCAAAACCATTTATCAGACAGTCTTATTTAACATCCCAATGTCAGTGCCCAAAGTAAAAAAAAAAAAAAAAAAAAAGATTGTCAGGTCTTGAACGTTGCCTATGTTTATTAATGGGATGAAGGAGAATAAGCTGAAGTTAAATCCAAATCAGATAGAGGTTTTGTTGGTCAATAGGAAATGTGGTGTGGCTACTGTGCAAGAAATACTTTTGTTTAGTACAGTGGTTCTCAACCTTTTTAATGCCGCGACCCCCAACCGGTCGTAAGTCGAGGACTATTCAACTGGTCGTAAGTTGAGGACTACTCAGCTGGTGCAGCACCGTTTGCAGACTGGGACTTTTGGTGGGCTCAGCAGGGCAGAGACAGCCTGGACAATTCCTATTGGCTTTTGAAAGCCAATAGAATTAGACTCTATTCAAGAGAGTCTATTCTATTGGCTTTCAAAAGCCAATAGAATAAAAGGGAGTAGCACAGCTAAGGAAAAGGGGGAAAAAATGGCGGACTGCGTTGTTTGGCGACCCCCGTGAAATGGTCGTTCGACCCCAAATGGGGTCCCGACCCACAGATTGAGAACCACTGGTTTAGTACTTTGTATAGTACTTTGCATACCAGCTACTATTCATAGATAGATAGATAGATAGATAGATAGATAGATAGATAGATAGATAGATAGATAGATAGATAGATAGATAGATAGATAGATAGATAGATAGATAGATAGATAGATAGATAGATAGATAGGCAGGCAGGCAGGCAGGCAGGGAGGCAGGCAGGCAGGCAGGCAGGCAGGCAGGCAGGCAGGCAGGCAGGCAGGCAGGCAGACACTTGGATTACAAATGTGATGCAGATATTAAGTAGTTCTCTTAGTTATATCCTTGTTTAAAATGAATTTTCACCAGGACAAGTTACAAATCTTTCAGATTTCTGGGGGAAAAAAGTTTTATATGACTTTTATATCATTGTTACTAAATCAAAAATGTCAAACACATAAGAGTTCTCCTTTTGACAGAAAGGAACCAACTTAAAAATTGAAGGAGAATATCTGAAGACACAAAGAAATAGTTTGCAACTTGTTCCCTATTTCGCTTCTAATCCCCCCAACCTATATATTTGTCATAGAGCAAGGTCCACTGTCTGTGCAAATGTCATGTTTCTGTTTAGCCCCTTGATGATAAGCAAACCTTTGCTCATTCTAACAGAGAAATTGGCTCTGGAATGTGTGAAATAATAATTAGTACAACATTTGAGTCTTTTGACTCATGTTAACCATGAGTCAACACAACCATTGAGCATGTTCAGAAGATAACCTCTTTGCATTAATGCCATTCCTCTTTACCAAATCCAGGAATCCACATAAAATAATATTTGCACAATAATTTTAGCCTCCACTACCCCAACTTTTCACCAGTTCATGCTAAATTGAAGCTACCCGTCTTATACATTATCAAAACTCCGGTGTATCTGGCTCAGAAGTCAGAAAGCACAGTTCCCCATTGCTTCTTTCCTCAATTTCAGATGGTAGGGCTGGGATACGGGCCATGATGTAAAAGAGATAGTTGTCTGAATGCTCCTGTTAAACACTGCCATATAATTCAGCCCACAATAACTTTTTGCATGCCACTGAGCTGACATTGCCTATAGCAGTGGTTCTCAACCTGTGGGTCGGGACCACATTTGGGGTCGAACGGCCATTTTACGGGGGTCGCCAAACAATGCAGTCCGCCATTTTTTCCCCTTTTCCTTAGCTGTGCTACTCCCTTTTATTCTATTGGCTTTTGAAAGCCAATAGAATAGACTCTCTTGAATAGAGTCTAATTCTATTGGCTTTCAAAAGCCAATAGGAATTGTCCAGGCTGTCTCTGCCCTGCTGAGCCCGCCAAAAGTCCCATTCTGCAAACGGTGCTGCACCAGTTGATAGTCCTCGACTTAAGACCGGTTGAGTAGTCCTCAATTTACGACCGGTTGGGGGGTCACGGCATTAAAAAGGTTGAGAACCACTGGCCTACAGAGTCCTATAGATGGCTCATCCCTTTGCTATTTGCTCTGGTATTTCTCAGAATGAGCATTGAATGTCTAGGTAGGATATCCCTATGCTGGGAAAAGAAGTCATCAATAACATCACCAGGGATATCCATAAATTAAAGTTGTACAGACCAGCTGTCCAGATGCCAGGTGATGTGTCACCTTCTTAGAAATGAAGCATGCCTGAAGTACTGCAAATCATTCCTTTCCTTCACAGAAGGGGCTGAAGAATGAAGCCCAGCTCTTCCGAGGGTCAATTGATAGTATGTGTGAGGGAGGGAGGGAAAAGGACAGATGGGAAGCAAAACAAACAAGCCATATCAGGAAAAGGCAGCTTTGCAGTTTTAGGTGTGGGGAGTGGGGTTGCTCTGTTTTAGTGCCTGTCTAAATATCAGCACAGCAAAGGCATCTTGCTGTTCAGAAAAGGGTCATGTGTGAATGGAGGACTCTAGTGTTTTGCTTCGTTGAACCAGCAAGACTGAAGTCTGTTGTGATTCTCCATGCTTGTGCTCCAGCTCTAAACGAGAGGCTCATTGATAAGCCTTCCCAGATGTGGTGAGCAGCAGCCTTACGTTTGGCAGCTTGCCAACAGATTGCCTGCAGTCTCTCCGCTTCCCTGTATCTGCAGTAGAAAAGCTGCAATGCTCGGATCTTGAAAGAAAACACAGCTGACGGCAAACCTCTTGTCTGTCATGAGCCCACCTCACACAGAAATTATCCAGGAAACAACAGCACCGACGAAGGTATCTTTCTCACAAGGCCTGCTTGCTTTAGTATTGTGGATTTGAGATTTTCCTGCCTGGCATTATGGATCACCACGCAGTAAGACCCCCTTTGAGAAGATCATTCAGTGATCATATCAAGAACTCCACTACTAGAGCCTTGGACACTATCTGGAAGAGCACCAGAGACCGACGTCTGGCAGGTGAGGAGGTGGTTGAAAATGGGTTTTCTTTACCAAAGGAGTCATGTCCCTAGTGATAGTAGGAGATGCAACTGGACAGAAGTGAGAACATGATCCCAGCAGTTTTTCCTTCACCCTCCTGCATCCAGCTATTTGGGATTGGGATTTATCTGTGCAAGATTCAGTAGTTGTGGGCTTGTAAAAAAAAAAGTGTTTTCTTGAACATAAGAAAAAGTATTAGTAAAGAATTCTACATTTTATGCCCTTGGATTTTCTCCTAGGAAATTCAACCTAATCATTTTTATTATTGCAAAGAAAACAAGTCCTCTGTACTTTATTGAAATTGCTTGCTTCGTTAGATTGCCTTAAGAATAGTTCCCTTGCCTTATAGCAGTGTTTCTCAACCTTGACAATTTTAAGGCATGTGGACTTCAACTCCCAGAATTCCACAGCCAGCATTGCTGGCTGTGGAATTCTGGGAGTTGAAGTCCACATGCCTTAAAATTGTCAAGGTTGAGAAACACTGCCTTATAGTGAGATAAAGATAAGTATGTTGAGACTGGGGGCTAGTTTCCCCCAATGACAAGGCTACTATGCAGCCCAACCACATGTCCTTGATGACAGTCCAGACACTTAATATTCAAATTAAATTGTGTTGACAACCTCTTGACCTTGTTGGTGAGATCTGAAACAAAAATCCAGAAGACCAAAAAGTCAAAAAGTTTTTCTTATCTCATTGCTACTATCTTCTAGGGGTCATCCAGCTGTTTGCAACCCAGATCTAGTAGCCTTAGGAGATGACATGTTATTTGGATATATTGTCCAGATTTTTAAAGCAAAAAAGCTGAGAAATATTCCTGATACAAGACAGCAAGTTGAATATTAGAAAGAAAACGTGAACTCTCTTAATTTCAACCAAACAGGGACAAGCCAACAAGGCAAACTTTTTATATATAGAGCTGTGCTAGCTTCTTCCTGAAGTAGATAGCCTCAATTTTTCTCCTACAATTGTTTGTAAGTATTCAGTAACTAGTATGAGTAAATAGTTCCCCCTCCTTCCCTCCCTCCCTCCAAATGTTCCAGCATAATTTTAAGCTGCTAGCTAACTTCCATTTTATATTCAGGGCTTTTTTTGTCATAGAACACCCAGAATGGAGTTCCGGCCCCTTTTTTGGATGGAACCTTGTAGGGTAGGCAAGGCGGGTTGTATGACATGTGTGAGTTCCAGCACTTTTTTTTTTTACAAAAAAAAAAAAGCACTGGTTATATTTAAAATGAATGGAAAAATACTGCATGGGGAGTTTTAAACTTCTGAAGTAATTCTAAGAGCACATACCTATCTATGGTGGCTTCATTAAAAGTAAGTTTCGGGGTGCCTAGCAAGTTTCTTCTATAGAAACAGTAGATGTATACTGGAAGTCAGTCTGAATAGGCTGAAATATAAGCCTCTATAGCAGCGGTTCTCAACCTATGGGTTGCGACCCCATTTGGGGTCGATCGACCATTTTTCGGAGGTCGCCAAAGAAGGCGATCCGCCATTTTCTCCCCTCAGGGGGCGGCGTCGCGCATGCGCACCGCGCATGGGGGTGGCATCGCGCATACGCACCGCGCATGGGTGTGGCGTCGCGCATGCACGCCGCGCACGGGGGGCGCCGCGCATGGGGGCCGCGCATGCGCAGAACATTTGTGTGACGGGGGTTGCCGTCACACAAACGTTGAGAACCGCTGCTCTATAGAAAAGAGGATAGAACTGGATTGCAGAAGAGTTCAATGCATTATGAGTATATTTCTTTCCAGACACATAGGATGTCTTGCTGGACATCTGCCAACCATTGAAACCTATAAATTGGCAAGGGGGAGAAGCCTATCTTTCTTTGAGAGCCATATTTCCTTGGGATTAATTTATTAGGGGGCTCCATGCCATTAGTGGGTAGGATCAGAAGCATTATCAGCAAGTTATCCCTTCTTCTTTTACTATCACTCCCTTTTTTCCTTTCTTTTTGACCCCTCCTCCCTTTTCCTTCCCACCCATCATGTTTTCAGAGAGGCATAGTTTACTCTTGCCAAACTTCTGATCTTATTGCTTACAGAAATTAGGTCTGTAGTTTGTTTCGTGTAGCCCAGTGGTTCTCAACCTTTTTAATGCCACGACCCCCCAGCCGGTCGTAAGTCGAGGACTACTCAACTGGTGCAGCACCGTTTGCAGAATGGGATTTTGGGTGGGCTCAGCAGGGCAGAGACAGCCTGGACAATTCCTATTGGCTTTTGAAAGCCAATAGAATAAAAGGGAGTAGCACAGCTAAGGAAAAGGGGGAAAAATGGCGGACTGCATTGTTTGGCGACCCCCGTGAAATGGGGTCGTGACCCACAGGTTGAGAACTGCTGGAATAGAGTCTATTCTATTGGCTTTCAAAAGCCAATAGAATAAAAGGGAGTAGCACAGCTAAGGAAAAGGGGGAAAAAATGGCGGACTGCGTTGTTTGGCGACCCCCGTGAAATGGTCGTTCGACCCCAAATGGGGTCCCGACCCACAGGTTGAGAACCTCTGATGTAGCCTCACTCTTGTGCTTCTAAAATAAATGTTCCTTTCTATAATCAACTTATAATTCTACGAAGTGGGATTGGTGGTTTAAGAATCTGTAACAAAGGAGTCCCCCTATCCTTTCAAATGCAGATCTTTGCATTGTTATGGCAGACAGAAATGATGACAGTGAAATAAATGTAAAATTATGCATATTTTAATTAGGTAAATTTGGCCTTCATATCTTGCAGCGGTGACGAAACAAATATTCAACTGTCATTTCATCTTAGCAAAAATGTTATTACCTTGTTTTTATTAGATTGTTTTTTATTTTTATTTTATGTTTATTACATTTATATGCCACCTCACTATTGATTTTACCTGTTGTAGGCCATGAGTTGCCTAGATGAAAGGGTGTCCATACAAATAAAATAAATCATCGTATCATAATTTTAAGAATATCATTTAATTTCTTTCTAGAAGAAGGAAAGGTTGAAGTGCCATTTTCTCATTTTCTATATTTTTTGCAAAACCTGAGGGCTGATTGCGTATATGATATTTTGTGCTGCAGTTCCCAGCATGCCTTGCCATCTATTGTCCAAGATGGAGAGTGGTGCTGAGAACTGATACCATCTGTAGGGGTACCGTTTGTCCACTCTTGGTTTATCATTGATAAATGGCTGTCAAGGTGAGGGACTGAGAAGAGAAAGAGCTTTCATACCTCAAGGTTGAAAATCTGAGACTTGAGGGAACTGGGTGGAATGTAGTTTGGTTTTCTTGCTATCCAAATTGTCCTGCTGGTTTTTGAAAGCTAGACAGACTGCTCTGAAACGCCTTTACTTCTTTGGCAGTATATAAATAAACTCAGTAAAGCCATGGGGTTGAATGGGAGACAAACCAGCCAGCTGGGATTTCAAACTGCTTGCTCCCTTAATATGTTTCATATCATAGAAACAGGGGTAGTCAACCTTGGCTCTTTTATGACTTGTGGACTTCAATTTCCAGAATTCCTGAGCCAGCTTAGCTGGCTCAGGAATTCTGGGAGTTGAAGTCCACGAGTCATAAAAGAGCTAAGATTGACTACCCCTGTCATAGAACATAGAATAACAGAGTTGGAAGGAAACTTGGAGGTCTTCTAGTCCTACCACCTGCTCAAGCAGGAAACCCTATGCAATGTCAGACAAATGGCTGTCCAATCTCTTCTTAAAAGTCTCCAGTGATGGGGCACCCACAACATCAGAACAACAAACACTGGTTAATTGTTCTCAATGTTGGGAAGTTTCTCCTTCATTTTAGGTTGCTTTTCTCCTTGATTAGTTTCCATCCATTGCTTCTTGTCCTGCCCTCAGGTGCTTTGGAGAATAGCTTGACTCCCTCTTCTTTGGGGCAACCCCTCAAATATTGGATCACTTCTGTTGTGTCACCCCAAATCCTTCTTTTCACCAGACTAGACATACCCAATTCCTGTAGTTCAGTGAGCATAGAAACAATATCCCCAATCTTAAAAGCCAGAGTTTTCTCCAGAGTCCTTGTCTGAACAGAAATTTCTTGCCTTTATTTCTTTTTTCCTAAATTATATCACTCTTTTCCAAGTTTATTATTAAGCTATTTTTCTTTTGGGTTCTTTTCTCAATCTATTCAGTACTTGGATATTGCTATTCTCTAAGTCAATGATTCTCAACCTTTTTAATGCCGTGACCCCCAACCGGTCGTAAGTCAAGGACTACTCAACCGGTCGTAAGTCAAGGACTACTCAACTGGTGCAGCACTGTTTGCAGACTGGGGCTTTTGGCGGGCTCAGCAGGGCAGAGACAGCCTGGACAATTCCTATTGGCTTTTGAAAGCCAATAGAATTAGAATCTATTCAAGAGAGTCTATTCTATTGGCTTTCAAAAGCCAATAGAATAAAAGGGAGTAGCACAGCTAAGGAAAAGGGGGGAAAAATGGCGGACTGCGTTGTTTGGCAACCCCCGTGAAATGGTCATTCGACCCCAAATGGGGTCCCGACCCACAGGTTGAGAACCACTGCTCTAAGTTATGTTCTTGTGGAAAACGAAAGGACTCTTACGAATTCCAGAGGGTTTTAGCAGAGAGATTTATTGCACAGGTTCAGAAGCAAAAAACAACAAGCAATTCTGAACCCCGAGGGCGGGTTCAGACTTCAGTTTTATACTTTCCTTTTCTCAGGAACAAAGGAATACACATTGTAATACATTAGGTTCGTTTCTCACGGGTATACAATGGAGAGTTTGCTACATACATTGTATCCAAGTGTAATGCGCATTAGGTTAGTCACATACCACTAACACAGCACTATTCCAGTAATTATGCAGACACATCATTATTCTAGTGATTGTTCATTATTCCACATTAATGTAGTTCTTCTCTATTTCACAGAGATCATTCATGTCTCCAGATGAAACATTAATTGCAATTTTTTTATTCTGTCCCCCCCCCCTCAGCCTCTCCCGGCTGTAATATTCAATACTTTCACAGCAGC